TGAGATCTGGACTTTAATTGAGATTTGCTCTATTACGAGAGTTTTACTGTGGGTTGTCAGGTCTTGCTCATCAATACAAACAGAACATAACATTACCTGAAAAGTTATATCTGTTAAAATATAGGTCGATGTGATCATTAAACATTTCATCTTATCAATGGAAGGCTTGCATATTGATACCTTGATCTTTGGAAAAGGTAAATAAAAATATGTCTCTAGAAATTTAGTAAGCCTTTCACTAGTGACCTGTAATGTTTTGATCACTGACTCTATAGGCATAAACAAGGAGTATTTGAGACCACTCTAACAACTATACAAGAATTAGACAACCTCACACTAAAAGTACAGAAACAATATTGCACTTTATGAGACTCAATAAAATATACAACATTAGACTGGAGAAAAAATAAAGATATGAGACTACAGAAAAATATTACAATATGAGATAACAGAATACCAACTTGGTTTGTTTGTATAAATAACAATCAGTGATATTTTAATATGAAGCAATAATAAACTGATATATATTATTAATCAACAAGATGTAATGGAGAAGGTATGACAAGAGCCATTATAATGCCTCAAATGGCAATAATAGAAAAAATTTAATTCTTCAAAATATGTGAATCAAATGTGGATACTGGGAACTAAAATAATAACATATATTGCATTGTACACATTAAACATTGAATTTAAGATTTCATAACTTTAATTCTTGACAAAGGAAGAAAAAACTCCAATTTCAAACATCATTTTAACAGTGACATATGCATCTTTGATATATTTAGAAGAGGGTGGTAAAGGGTTGTTTTCTATCAACGTTTTCAGCCTTTTTATTTCAAATGTCTTCCTGTTTTGACATTTAATTTCTCTTTTTCTCCTGTTTGGTTTGATGTGCGTGCTTCATGTTTCACCTTATTCATTTTCAGTGTTTGTGTAAAGTGTTTGTGTAAATACTCTTAATTTTTCGTGCTGATACCGCATTTATGATTAAAAAGTAAATCTGGGCTCGAATATTGTTTTATATAATGTATTAATGAACTGGTACCCAGGATAAAAAATGCTTGTTTTTGGCCCTTAATTCCTAAACTGTTGGCACCATAACCCCCAAAATGAATCCCAACCTTCTACTTGTGGTATAAAACATTGTGGTACAATTTCAGAGCAATCGAAAATACTTCTACACAAGTCATTATCCTGAAACTAGAAAAATGCTTGTTTCATGCCCCTTTTGACTAAAAAGTTGGGACCATCATCCCTAAAGTCAATCCCAACCTTCCTTTTGATGTATTGAACCTTCTAAAAAAATTTCATAGAGATCCATTCACTTAAACTAAAGTTATTGTCCGGAAACCAAAAGTGCAATCCTGTTTGGTGTGTATCTCCTACCATATCAGAGATAAATCAGAAATAACCAACCCAAAAAATATTTTGAGGTCGTATAAAAATATAATAAAATGCTCCGCAGGGCGCAGCTTGATACGACCGCAGAGGTCGAACCCTGAACAGTTGGGGCAAGTATGGACACAACATTCAAGCTTGATACAGCTTTGCATTTGGATTGTGATTAAATATTTGACACAGCATAGGTTTCTGACACAGAATGAATGTGGTCTACGAACTTAATAATTTTTAATTGGACATTCACCTATTATGGTCCAATATCCAAAATCTAAATACATGGTTAGATTCAGCATATCAAAAAACCCTAAGAATTCAATTTTTGTTAAAATCAAACTAAGTTTAATTTTGGACCCTTTGGACCTTAATGTAGACCAATTTGAAAACAGAACCAAAAATTAAGAATCTAAATACACGGTTAGATTCGGCATATCAAAGAACCCCAATAATTCAATTTTTGATGAAATCAAACAAAGTTTAATTTTGGACCCTTTGGACCTCAATGTGGACCAATTTTAAAAACAGGGCCCAAAATCCAAAAACTTAATACACAGTTAGATTCAGCATATTAAAGAACCCCAAGAATTGAAGAATAAAACCCCATTGAAATTGGTCAAGAAATAAGCAATTTATAGGAAGTATCTTCTTTTGCACAATACTGTGCAATTGAATATTTCTTGCTATTGCGCAATACTGTACAATTGACAATTTCTTGCTATTGCGCAATATTGTGCTATTGGATATTTCTTGCAATTGCACAATACTGTGCAATTGAAGATTTCTTGCTATTGCACAATACTGTGCAATTGAAGATTTCTTGCTATTGTGCAATACTGTGCAATTGAAAATTTCTTGCTATTGCACAATACTTATAATATAAAAACTTACACATCCTGTTTGGTGTGTATCTCCTACCATATCATTATTATTTGCTTTTAAATATAAATCAGAAATAACCAACTTAAAATGGAAAATTTTAAAAGAAAAAAAAAGGGAAAAAAGAAAAAAAAGGAAAAAAAAAAATCCCCCCCCCCAAATTTTTTGAACCCCCTTATGATTCATCACCCCCAAACTCAATCCCAGCCTTCCCTTTGTGGTATGGTACCTTGCAGTACAATTTCAGAGAGATCCATACACTTGAACACAAGTCATTGTCTGGAAACGAGAAAAATGTGTTTTTTTGGCCCCTTTTTGGCCCCAAATTCCTAAACGTTTATAGCAATTACCCCCAAACTCAAACCAAGCTTTCCCTTTGTGATATGGAACCTTGTACTACAATTTCAGAAAGATCCATACACTTACACACAAGTTATTGTCCTGAAACTAGAAAAATGCTTGTTTTTTGCCCCTTTTTTGCCCCTAATTCCTAAAATATTGAGGCAATTACCCCCATCATCAATCCCAGCCTTCCCTTTGTGGTATGGTACCTTGCAGTACAATTTCAGAGAGATCCATACACTTAAACACAAGTTATTGTCTGGAAACTAGAAACATGCTTATTTTTGGCCCCTTTTTGGCCCCCAATTCCTAAACGTTTCAGCAATTACCCCCAAACTCAATTCGAGCTTTTCCTTTGTGATATGGAACCTTGTAGTACAATTTCAGAAAGATCCATACGCTTACACACAAGTTATTGTCATGAAACTAGAAAAATGCTTGTTTTTTGCCCCTTTTTTGGCCCCTAATTCCTAAAATTTTGAGGGAATAACCCCCAAAATCAATCCCAGCATTCCCTTTGTGGTATGGTACCTTGCAGTACAATTTTAGAGAGATCCATACACTTGAACACAAGTTATGTCTGGAAGTTACAAAAATGCTTATTTTTGGCCCCTTTTTGGCCCCTAATTCCTTTACTGTTGGTACCATAACCCCCAAAATCAATCCCAACCTTCCTTTTGTGGTATTGAACCTTGTGGTAAAATTTCATAGAGATCCATTCACTTAAACTAAAGTTAGAGTGCGAAAACCAATGTGTCTTCGGACAACGACGACAACGACGACGACGACGCCAACGTCATACCAATATACGACCAGAAAAATTTGTTTGCGGTCGTATAAAAAGAAGGCCACTGAATGTATATTCAAAGACATTTTTGTTATCAATAAAGAGGAACAAACAAAGGTTCCTAAATGTAACAAAAATGCATAAAGAAATGGATGAAGAACAACAACTCTACTGACACATCCTCTTCTGGTTTATCATGAAACAATAACTTTTATAAGTTGAAGCTCTGAAAAATCAATGTATAAATTCTAATTTCTAGATTCAGAAAATCCCGTAAGTGTTTTCACTTTTCCATTGCAAAAATATTATGTTTTGTCCTGCAGGCATGTCTGTCCATTAATCTAATAAACAGCTGTGCCATGAGCGCATGATATGCCTGTCGTCTTGTGTGTGAATTTTTATGCAATAAGCATAAATAGTTTCTGACATACGGCGTGACATGCGAAAACCCCCTTTTTTTTTTTTTACAAAAAACTCAATATCTCTAAAATAAAATTTTGAATCAAAACCAAAATGTATACAGATCTTTAGATTAATATAACTAAGGAGTGTGTAAAATTTTAAGCAATAATCATAAATCGTTTTTGAGATACGGCGCGACATGTGAAAACCCCCCCTTTTAAAAAAAAAAAAATCAATATCTCAAAAATAAAATTTTGAATCAAAACCAAAAAGTATACAGATCTTTAGATTAATATAACTAAGAAGTGTGTAAAATTTTAAGCAATAATCATAAATCGTTTTTGAGATACGGCGCGACATGTGAAAAACCCCTCCCCCTTTTTTTACAAAATACTCAATAACTCAAAAATAAAATTTTGAATCATCACCAAAAAGTATACAGATCTTAAGATTAATATAACTAGGAAGTGTGTAAAGTTTTAAGCAATAATCATAAATTGTTTTTGAGATACGGCGCGACATGTGAAAAAAAACACACACCTGTTTTAGTTACTAAGTCCCGTAACTCAAAAAGTTTTAATCTTATTTTCAACAAAAAGTATACAGATCGTTTGACCATCATAAGAAACAACTATGTTAAGTTTCATGAAATTTGGATAAGTCATTCTCAAGTTAAGGTGCGACATGTTTACACCGGACAGACAGACGGACAGACAGACAGACGGACGGATGCCGGACATTTGTATATCATAATACGTCCCATCAAAAATTTGACGGGTGTATAAAAATGTAAGTTCCTTTTCTTTACTTTTCACTCAGTCATATAATTGTATTTTTTTATTTATTACATTTGTTTGAGGCAAACTTAAGTTAGAGAATGGAACCTAAAAATATAGCAGTTTTTCCATTTATAAAGGGGCATAACTCTAGAAAGGTTAAAGTGACGTCATCAAAATTCAAGCTTGATTTGAGATGTGGTAATAAACATTGTTTATAAGTTTTTTAACATTTGGTTGAGGCGAACTAAATTCAGAGAATGGAAACCAACATTGGGATGTAAGGACAGACAGATGTACAGATGAACAAGAGTTATTCAGGGACATGTTAATGGAATTTCAGAGATAGCAGGATTAAATCATAAAATGAAGAGACAATGTTTAAATATGTATCAGCAAATTAATTAAAATCTGACCTCATCAATATCATTACAAGTGACCCCATTGCCTTCATAACCATCTGGGCAAGACAAGCAGTCAAAGGATCCATCCATATTATAACAAAGTTCCTCCAGATAACAAAGTAATGATGATCCAAGACAAGGACATTGTGTTGTGTCTGAACATGACTGACAACCACTACCATCAGCTGCAGCATAAGTCCCAGCCTCACACACATTACATATATCCTTCATCTTGGAGCTATAGTGTCCAGCAGGACAATTAAGGCATGATGATTGTCCTGTTAGATCTTGATAAGTTCCTGGTGGACACATTTCACAGAACTCTAAATAGGAAAAATGAAATATCAATTTAATAAACCTCTCTGAATATTTTTAAATCAAAGTTTTCAAGTAAATGTGAAGTACACCAAATACTATGTTACAGTCTTCTAAAATAAAATTACTGCATGTAATTTGGTTGTAAGTGAGTTGTAAAGTATGATTATCTGTTTAATACTAACCAACATTCCCATCAGAGTATGTCCCCACATTACACAGATATTTTTGTCCACCACGACAAGCGTAACCACTTTCACAATGGGTACACGTTGCAGGACAGTATGTGTCATTACACTCAACATAATGGAAGTCTTCACATGGTGTGGCATATCCATCTTCACATATCTGCAATACAAGTTTTAAAAAATGCTCATCTAAGGGCTATCACTCTTATAACTATATCAGCAAAATTTGACTTGTTAGTAGATCTTGACTTGCTGATCTTTTTTGTGATTTAAAGTGTCTATCTATCTATCTTTATTTTCATCATATCAGGCAGAACAACAATAAAAAGTTGAAAATTGTCCAATTAGGAGTCAGCAGACATTATCCTCCATATAATCTTAATTGCAGATTTTGTCTTGCTGATTATTTTTGCTTATATAAGTCTATATCTATCTATTATAATTCTAAAGATACATTATATGGCAAAATCGCAAATAATTGGTATTAATTTCTATCAAAGGGCTATAACTCTTATAAGGAGTCAACTGATGATTTCGTCCATGCAGAGTTATCTGTAGAACTTATCTTGCTGATAATTTTTGCAGTTTAAAGTTTTGCTTTATCTATTATAGTTTTCAAGTAAGTAGGCAAAATTGAAAATAAAATGGTAAAATTCGCCATTTAAGTGCAATATGTCCTATAAGAAGTCGTCTGACAGTTTTTAACATTTTTGTCTCTGTCAGTTTCTAATGGTTTTCAAAATAGTAGACAAAACTTGCATTATACCCCTACATTTTTTTTTTGCCATGTCGGCCATCTTGGTTGGCCTGTCCCCGGGGTCAAACACATTTTGTAAACTAAATACCCTGATGTGATTGTGGCCAAGTTTGGTTACATTTGGCCCTATATTTTCAGAGGAGAAGATTTTTGTTGTTAGTGTTAACAGACAATGAACAATCGACAATAATGAGCAATAACTCCAATAAGGAGTCATTGGACGATTATCACCTGATGACGCCTTAATTGTAGATCTTCTCTTGCTGATAATTTTTAAGATACCAGACAAAAATGAAATTAGAGGTCCAAGGAGCCTGTGTCACTCACCTGATATGTGTGTTTACAATTGATGTATGAAAATATGCAACCATTATACTTTTGCTTTACTTTCAGAGATATATGCCAAAACTGCATTTTACCAGTAGGATCGATTTTTAGCCATGTAAGCTGTGTTGGTTGGCAGGTGGGTTCATCAGACACAATTTTTAATCTAGATACCTAATGATGATAGTGGCCAAGTTTTGTTAAATTTTTCTCAGTAGTTTTAGGAGAATATTTTTGTAAAAGATTACAAAAATTAACGAAAAATTGTAAAAAAATTACTTTAAAGGGAAATAACTCCTTTTGACAATTTTGCTGAACATTATTGCTGTTTACAGTTTATCTTTATCTGTAATAATATTCAAGGAAATAACCAAAAACTGCAAAATTTCCGTATAATAACCAATTTAGGAGGAGCAACTAAACGATAGATTTGTCTGAAAATTACTGGGCAGATAGATTTCAACCCGATGAACATATTTACAAATTGTCAAATTTGCTCTAAATGCTTTAGTTTCAGAGATATAAACCAAAAATTGCATTTTACCCCTTATGTTCTACTTTTAGCCATGGCGGGCATGTTGGTAGGCAGGCAGGGTCGTCCGACACATTTTTAACTAGATACCCCAATGATGATTGCATGTGGCCTAGTTTGGTTATATTTGGTCCAGTAGTTTCAGAGGAGAAGATTTGTGTAAAAGATAACAGACGACAACGATGACGGAAGATGGACGACGGATGCCAAGTGATGAGAAAAACTCACTTGACTTTTCAGGTTAGGTGAGCTAAAAATGGTAAAATTAGTCATTGAAGAGCAATAACTCCTGAAACAAGTCATTTGACAGTTTAGACGTATCTGAACAATTGGTAGAGCTCAACATGTTTGTTCCTGTCAGTTTTTTGTATTTTTTATTACGGTTTTTAAAAATAATACATGTAGACAAAACCCCTATGTTCTATTTTTAGCCATGTAGGCCATCTTGGTTGGCAGGCTGGGTTATCAGACACATTTTTCAAACCAGATAACCCAATGACGATTGTGGTCAATTTTGGTTAAATTTGGTCCAGCAGTTTCAGAGGAGAAGATTTTTGTAAAATTAACAGATGACCTTGAATGCCAGACCCTAGGTAATGAGAAAGGCTCATTTGGCCCTTTAGGCCATGCATGTGAACTAAAAATGATCAAAATTGTATAATTTGTCATGTAAGGACAGAAAATTCCTAAAAGAAGTCCCCTGACAGTTTTGACACATATGAACAATTGGTAGAGCTCAACATTCTTAACTTTTTTCCCCTGTCAGGATTTTTTTTATTTGCAAGATTTCAAAAGAATAAGACAAAACTTGCATTTTTCCCATATATTCTATTTTAGCAATGTCTGCCATTTTGTTTGCCAGGTCAATAGAGAAAATTTTAAAGAAAACTACAATGACGATTGTGGCCAAGTTTGGTTCAGTTCAGTAGTTTTAGAGGAGAAGATTTTTGTAAAAGTTAATGGCCCATTAGACAAGGTGAGCTAAAAAATAAACAATAAATTTAAGTATCTATAAATATTTTGGATAACATACATTCTTCATCAGTATGATTTACTGTGCACAGAAGCCTTATTCTCATAAGAAAGATCTTTGACAAATACCTAGATGTTTCATATATATTTAATTCATATTTTGTACTTCCTTCAGTGTTAAAAGAACTTCTGCATTTGTGACATCTTGGCTATCATTACCGCCTGTACTATGTACATGCCCAAACCCTAGATCACTCAACAATATTAAATGTCTGCATGCCTTGTATTCATCTCAATAAATCTGTTAATCTATTAACATTCAATTTGACTGTTCTAAAGGCAGATATGATACAAAAAAAAAAATGTAGTTTGTTCTCTATCAAAAGATACATGAGAATTTTTACTTGAAATTTCATGCATTTTATGTGAGGATATTATTTTTCAAATATGGTAGTAGACTTAATCTACAAATACACACCCAACCAAGTGGACACGTTGTACATTCAATAGCCAGGCCAAAACTATGTTCTGTAGGTGATCGACCACATGTAGAATTATCCAGGGGAGGACCACATCTCCCACAGGGCTGTAAAGTACTATCACCATTACAAAACCAGGAAGTCAGACACCTTTGACATGTTGTCTTGTCTGAAAAGGAAGAAAAGAAAACAAATTATAAATAAGAAACAGTTCCTTTGTTTATGTTCAGTAGGAGAGGTACTTTGATAATTGATGTTAAGGCATTTTTTCTAAAAGAATAAAACCACTAAACCATGGTCCCATTGCTTGCTTGTTTAATTCTGCAATTTCCAGTATTCCTATCATTATTGTCTTCAGCATAAAAAACTAGAGATCCCCAAGAGCCTGTGTTACTCACCTTGGTATATGGGAATATCAAACAAAGGACACTCTCCAACATTGCGGACGTGAATAGAGTAAGACCATTGCAAAAATCTATTTTTTGTTGATCTTGTATGGAAAAACTGGGGACTAACAGCTGCACACACATAATAAACATTACAAGTTATCCCACTTTTAACATACAAATGAAAATTAATATACAGAAAACTTGGGGGATAAGATAAAATTTGATGATAAAAGTACAATTTTATTGAAAAGTCCAGCATGTCATTAAAATTTTAACAGGTTCATACCTCAGTAAGAAAATAAAATAAACATAAAATCATAAGTCAGCATCACAGAGTACAGAGTAGAAGAGCTCAAACTTAACAATACAAATCTTAAAAAGCTCATAAGTACATGTGTAACAAAAAAATTGTTCCGGCGTGACATTTGTTCTGCAGGAACAAATTTCATAGGAAATATGTTCCACCGGAATTTATATCACAGAAAATATGTTCCAGCACTGTAAAATTTGTTCCAGAACTAATTTTTTGGCCAAATGTGAAATAAGTTCCGGAACAAAAATCATAGCTCCATGAATTTTGTTTCAATTGATATTAAAAAGTTTTAAATAAGTTCCTGTGACATTAGTTTTAAACAAACATGTAAATATTTCATAGAAACTAATGAATAAGTTCCGCTCAATCATTATTGCACACCGAAACATTTTCTTGTTACACTTAAATTATAATGCAAGCTAAATGCTGTACTCAGTGTATTTGCATGGGATACATTTGCAATGGAAGGCATGACTGTAACTATAGGATGAAGATAAGAAATAAAAGCGATGGTAATGTATCATAATTTGTATTTATGTTTTATGCGGTATTCCTCCTTGGTTCCTGTTAACTGTCATGGCCCCATGTTCTAGTCATACATGTACTTAGGACATGGCACATTTCAAAAGAGTGTGTCTTTTTTTTCTACATGTCTTTTGATATTTATAAATGATCAAGTCACTTTGTCCTTTTAAAATTAGTACTATGTTCCTCTTAAACTATACTTTTTTTCTGAATGATTTTTCTTATTCTAATCTTTTCTGGTTCAAAAGTGTCATTTAGATATTTTTTACAGAGTATATAATTAAACATTTGCTATACTCCATAGGATCCAAACTGGATAATTTACACTTTTTATCTATTATATTATTAATATAATACTTATTTTTATAATGCACTAGAATGATAACTTTAAACTCACTGATGATAAATGCTCAGTATATAAGATAACTTGTTTAACCAGTGGAACATATTTCACAGACAAGGAACTTATTTCCCCACGTGAGGAACAAATCTCACAAATTCAGAACTTATTTCACCAGGTAAGGAACAAATCTCTTAAACCTGGAACTTATTTCACTAGGTAAGGAACAAATTTCACCAATCCGGTACTTATTTCACCAGGTAAAGTCTGGAACTTATTTTATAGAGATGGAACAAATTATATAGAAATTACCTGTGAAAAAAGTTCTCCCAGAACATATTTCCTGTGATATAAGTTCCACTGGAACTTTTTTCACAAGAACAAATTTTGGCTCACACATGCAGCATGAAAAATAAATTAACAACCCATACGTCAGCATGAGTAGAGAGTAAAAAGGTCATACGTCAGCATGAAAAGATTAAAGCTCATACGTCAGCATAAGTAGAGAATAAAAGAGCTCAAACGTAAGCATGAGAAGATGTTAAAGAAACTCATACATCAGCATGAGTATAGAAAAGACCTCATACGTCAGCATGAGTAGAAAATCAGACATCATACGTCAGCATGATGAGGTATAAAGTGTTAATGCACTCAGAAGGACATCAATAAGTTTTAATACTTTAATAACTATTAGCACATGTTACACAATTCACCATTTACAGGAAGAGGATAACTCCAACAGGAAGTCAGTAATTGTTGAAACATAATACAGCGTTATCTTTCTTTATATAGTCCAATTAACTTTAGATCAACATTCCCTCTACTTTCTTTTGTTTTATACAATTACAAGATCTTCACAGGATTTAGACTACCCTCAGATCTTAGGGGATTATTCTGCTCCTTTTGAAAACATAAAAGATGCTAAATTAAAATTACAAGATCGTCACAGGGTTTAGACTACCCTCAGATCTAGGGGATTATTCTGCCCCATGTGACAAACATAAAATGATAAAATGTTATGAATTATTTCACTATTTTAAACAAAGTCCTTCAACATTTTTCCTGTTTGAATAACTTGCAAAAGTTCATAAGATGAAGCTCCAAACTTTGTCATGCAATTTGCTAATTGTTTATCTCCTGGACACCATTTTATATTATCTACTTCTTTTGATGCCAATGATTCAGCTATTGCTTCAACGTCAATTCTTAAACACTTGTCATCTACAAGTTTAGTCGAATAAACAGCTTCAACTACACTTTTATTGTCAATGTAAGCTTCAATTGGTATAGTCTGATGTTTTAATCCTAAAATGTCTTCAATTATTCAACGGTGATAAAAACTAGACTCTAACCCATCTTGTAAGCTTAAGGCTTCTGCTGCAATTGTCGATCTTACTATATGTTTGATTTTGTTTGCTTGCCAACTTATTGGACAGCTATTACTGCCATTATCAACTATCCAAATTACATGAGATTCTGTACTTCCAGTTCCATTACAAATATTTCCCAGAGAGGCATCTGTTAAAACAATAATTTTCCATTCTTTTATATCTTTATTAATTTTTGGAAATGAAATTATTGATTTAATTTCCTTAAGTCTATTACATGTTTTGATTGCTCTTATCAAATGTGCCACTGTCCCTTCTTTAAGTTTAGTACTCATGTCTATCATTTCAAAAGCCATATCAGGTCTTGAAACTTGAACAGTCCAACCCAAGTCAAACTGAACTGCTAACATTAGCAGTTTATTAGCTGTTATTTACCAGTTCTTCATATTTTAGCAGTCTTTCAGCTGTTCATAGCATTCCATCTAATAGCAGTTTGAGAAACTGCCTTATTTCACCATTTCTTAGCATTCCTCTTAGCATTCATCTTAGCAGTCTGGATCTACCTTCTAAACTGTTGTCAATTTGTCAATTGGACAACAGTTATGACAGCAGTTCAATAGCAGTTTGATAGCAGTTTTGGTTTTAATCTTTGTTATAAAAATGCTTGGATCTGGCTGTGTTTTCAGCTCGATAGTAAACCTTTATTTGAAGGTTATTTGATCATTTTCAAATGTGCATTTTGGCTCCAAGCTGTGTGTAAAAACTGTAAATACTTGCTAGTGAAAAGCTGTATTTTTGTCAATTATGAAGTTTAATTTGGGCTAAATGGAATAATTTCTCACACCTGCAGTACAGTAAGTTGAAGTTACAGATAATGCATGTGTATTTTCTGACATAACTTTGTAGGGAAAAACAGAAATAATACAGAAAGCCCCCAAAAAGGGGGATAGTTGTTTATTCAAATAGAATATCTGATGATGATAGGATTGTAATAAAATACTAACATATACTAACAGTGCAAGATGTTATTTGAAAATAAAAATATGAATATTTTAATATAATTTTGTAAAAAAACCAAAAATAAATCATATTCAAGAGTTGAAAAAGGGGAAGGGAATATTAGGGAAACCTAGGTCACATATAGCTGATTGTTTAATATTGACCAAACAATCCATTTAATGAAGTTAATAAATGTTACTTAAATTTTTTTCAGAAAGTGGAAACATAATATTTTACATGTATTAAGAATTATTTTGTTTAATTCCAAAAGAGAAAGAGGAGATAACTGTTTTCTTTTGGTCCACACAAAATATATATAGTAGAAGAGAAATTAGTAGTACATTTGGTAATTAAATAATAATACAAAATAAAATAACTTTTAATCTAAAAATCACTTAGTCAAGGTAATAAATAGTCTTTTAAGTAACCACTCTTATTGAATAAGTTGCTTTTTATAAGCACTGATATTTAAAGTGCATTATAATTCTTAACTGTTCCTATTATTCTGCCACTGACATAATTAATAAGGGGTATAAGGCCAGGTACAGTACTCACAAAGCATGTTTACACCCCTTAACAAGTCTGTTATTGGATTAAAATAGAGTCATTTGATTGCAGTTACTGCTCAAATTACAAATATAAGTTGGTACAACTTTTTGAAATTTCAACAAGACTTGCAGTAAAATATTAGAATTTTATTTTTGCATTCATATCTTGTACACTGTATATTCATGTGTACCTTTGTATTCCAACTTTTGACAGATCTGATAGCATTCCATAGCAGTTATTAGCAGTTTAGAAAGCCATATTAGGATGTACAACTTAGCAGTTTCTATGAATATTCATTATTGATAGCTGTTATTATAGCAGTTCTCATGAATATTCAGAGAAGATAGCAGTTTTTGAGTATCTCATTTAAATTTTTCGTCAAAAATAACTGCTAAATAACTGTGAAGGCTAAATAAACTGCTATGGAATGCTATTGGAATGCCTATATACAAATTAACTATTGCCTTGAATTTGGCAACTGTGAATGTTAATGAACTGCTAAAGAACAGCTGTTGAGTAAGAACTGTGAATGCTAATAAACTGCTAAAGAACTGCTGTCCACTTTGACTTGGGAATTTATTTAGCCAATTAACTTCCTGTACAAGGTTTGCTCACTTGTATTAAGGACATCTTGTTTCATAGCAGCTCTTGATTGTTCTATAGTTGTGTTATCTATTTTCTCCATATATGCAGAATGATCCAGAATTATGCCTTTTTTGTTCTGAT